AGATAGATAGATAGATAGATAGATAGATAGATAGATAGATAGATAGATAGATAGATAGATAGATAGATAGATGATAGAGATATAGATTAGATATAGATATAGATATAAATTTAGATTGCACAGAAATGGATAGGCTGACATTAAAGATAAAAGAGAAGGAAGAGTTAGAACACTTTCAAATATGGGATTTGTTTTATAATTGGTTGGGAAATGGAAATGGAACTCAGGAGCTGAGAAATATGTTATTATCATGATTATTATTATTACAAACAATGTAACTATTGATATTATATGATATATTACAATGTAAACAATTGACCCAGACACTGTTCACAAAGCACAAATATATGTTAAATTGAAAATGTATAAATAAACTATTTAAAAAGGAGGGGGGGTCTCCAGATATCAGCACCTCCATCAAACTGGAGGTTTTTTAGGAGGAGACTGGGCAGCCCATTTGTCTGGTGTGGTTTAGGGCCCCAGGATCCAGGGGGTTGGACTAGAAGACCTCCAAGGTCCCTAACAACTCTTGTTATGCTGAATTCTGCTTAAGCCAAGTCACCCTCTGAGCGTATAGGCTTCTCAAAACGTGGAGCTCCCCCTGCTGGGCTTTTGGTGCAAACACAGTTCCCCTGGTGGAGAAAGTCACAAACACACACACACACACACACACACACACCTGAAAACTACTAGAAGTTTCCACTGTGATCACATGACCCCAAGAGGCTGCAAACATCCTAAATACGGGTTACCAAGCGCCCGAATTCTGATCACATGGCTGTGGGGAATTCCACGACGGTCGTAAATGCGAGGAGTGGTCATAAATCACTTTTTTTTCCAGTCGTGTCCTTGCTCCAAACGGTCATAAGTTGAGAACTGCCTGTATTATATTCGAAATTTTTTTTTTTTTTTCAAATAATTTTTATTGTTATTTTCCAACTTTAAAAACAGGTAAATCTTAATTTTAATAGTATTGTGTCATCATTATTCTACAAACTAATCTCATTATGATACAAATCATAATACAAACCAACATAACTATCTACATTTATATATCCTTATGTACATTTATATATTTTTATCTGTACTATAATTGAAATTCTTAATCAGGAGCTTCAAATCTCACCGTTTCCGGTCTCCATCTTGACTTTTTTGCCCTCTGTCCCACGGACGCCCGCGCCTTGCCCTGAACCAAACCCAGTTGTTTTCTTCCCGTTTCTCCTCGCAGGTAGACGGGATCCTATTCTACCACAAACAAGCGCACTACAACCCGGGCAGCACGCCGTTAGTGGGTTGGCTGCGCCCTTACATGGTCTCCGACATCTTGGGCATCGCAGTGCCCAGCTGCTCACTTACCTCCAAGCCCGGCTACGCGGGGCAGCAGCTGCAGCAAATCATTGAGCACAAGAGGAATAAAAACCAGCAGCCGGGCGCGGCGGAGGAGGCTGCCTCGCAAGACGGGCGCTACGAACTGGAGCATTTGTCCACACCCCGAGCGGAGGCGCCTCAGCCCGCCTCACCCAACAGCGAGTCCCAGATGGACAACTGATCGGAGATCAGAAGGCGGCCAGGATCGTTCTGGAATATTCTCCGTAAACCCACATAGGAACCCCATAACAGAGGTCCCCCAAACTTGGCCACTTTAAGACTTGTGGACTTCAACTCCCAGAATCCCCCAGACAGCCATGTCTGTTTTCTCTTAACCTCTCTTAAAGTGGAGAGAGATTGCAGAAGAAGGGATTACAAGAGAGTAAACTATGCTGGCTGGGGGATTCTGGGAGTTGAAGTCCACAAGTCTTTAAAGGGGCCAAGTTTGGGGACCCCTGATATACACACACACACACACACACACATACACACCTTCAACATTTGGGCGGGTAAAACACACCTTTAGCTGCATATTTTCGTTCAAAGGGTTTTTTGGTGCTTGTCGTGCTGTAGAGAAGCTGCCATTTGCTCAGCTCGTCCTTAAATAAGGGTCAAATGCATCCATACCAACCACTGAGTTTCTGAACAAATTGGGAGACACGCCTGGGAGAAACCTGGGTTCAAATTCTCACAGGTCTCTCTCTCTCTCTCACACACACACATACACCTTGGATAGCGGGGCATTTTGCCAGATTCCTCAAGGCCGTTGAGGTTCACCGGTACTGAATTCCAAGTTTGAAAGAGAAGTGTGAAATTTCAAAATACACACACACACACACACACACACACAGCATGGATTGTGCCATTTGCACTGCAGGGAAGTTAATTTCCAGTCTAGAGTCCACGGCGGTCAAGACCTTTTCAGCGCAGGGCAAAATAATCAAGATGGCAGCCACAGGGTGGTGGTCACTTCTAGCAGGTGGAGCTCCGCTGGCACCCTCTGGCCACCATCTTGACTATTTTTTTGACCCTGCCTTGCGTTCATTGCCGCATAGATTTGATTTTAGGGAGCCACACTATGCGCTCTTCACATAAGGAAAGAAAATGCAGAATGGATAAAAAGACACCATTCACCTGCTGAAGCCTTTGGGCTTCCCGCTTAATTCTGCCACATTGGTGGTGTTGGGAATTGTGGTGTTGCACTCTTAAGATTCACCAAATAAAGAACTTCTGAAAGATCTGAAAGAACTTTGGACAATAATTAATTCTCTTTCTCCCACCCAATCCTTCTAATCGCCCTTGACTTCAGGTCATTTCATGGGCTAAGAGAATGGCTGATCCAAAGTCATTAAAATTCACTGTTAATGCATGTGGGGACTCTTCATTTCGAATATTTTCTGATTGCTAATTTCAAATATTTCCAGATTCTCTCCATTTCAAATTGTTTGATCCTTGGTTTTAAGAACCTCTTAATCTTTCCCAATTTTACGTATTTTCTGATCCCTCAATTCATACTTCGTGACTCCAATTAGTTCCTGATTCTTTCCTGATTTTGAACGTTCTCTGATTCTTGATTTCAAATATTTTCGGATTCCTGGTTTCAAATATTTTCGGATTCTTGATTTCAAATATTTCCTGACTCTTGAATTCAAATATTTTCTGATTCCTGGCTTTAAATATTTTCCGATTCTTGATTTCAAATAGTTCTTGGTTCTCTCTCTCTCCCTCAACGTTTTTTTGGTCCCCCCTAATTTCAGAATTGCAGCCTTCCTGGTTTGGAGGGCCCAGGAAAACCTATTGATGTGTATATTTATTTGTTTTGTTTCTGCAGAAATGAGGTTTGCGTCTGGCATTAAGGCCTGGTTTAACCATGCTCGATGTGCTGGGTTGCAATTGCCATCTGAACACCACTGAAGCTCTAAACCGTGCCTTATAAACTTCAGTGAGTTCGTAACAACATGCTTGGCCTAATCAAGAGGAGTCCAATCTTCCAGACTTCAATTCATGGCTTGCTGGGGAATTCTGGGAGTTAAAGCCCACAAAGTCTTAAAAATGGCCAATGTTGGACGTGCTGGCTGGGGAATTCTGGGAGTTGAAATCCACAAAAAGTGGACAAGATCTGGCCTAAGCCATTCTAGAGTTGGACTTCACACTGTGGGACAGATGCTTCATTTATTATTATTATTATTATTATTATTATTATTATTATTATTATTATTATTATTATTATTATTATTGTTATTATTATTATTAAAAAGGCTCTTTGGGGAGCTGAAAATTCAGATCGATTTCTTTAAAACTTCTTGCATTTCTCATCTTATCACCAAGGGCTGAGAATGTAGACTCCCTTGAGTGAGAAAGCTACCAGTGTTTTGAGCCTGGGAAATTGGCTTTCAACTCGGCATCCAGACAGGAAATGCTCTTCATAGGGGGGGGGGGGAACCAGAGCATCATCTTAAAGGGGACTCCCCACTTGGATCCCGGCCATTTCCATCCAAAGCCAACTCCCAAGCGTAGCCTTTGGGAGCAAAAAATCTGCAAATAGCTCTGCAAATTCACCCCCTTGCCTCCTCCTTTCCTGGTCAACCCTCAGCAAATAGATCCCGGCTTGCTGGGGCGATGATGATGTCCGTTTCAGATCTCCTGCAGGCGGAAGCATTTAGAGAGAACTCAAAAATCAATATTTGCACTTGGCTCCTTGGGAATTCTAAGCGGAAAAAAAGAAGCCAAATTCTGCAAATGTGGCTGATTCCGGCCTTCTGCAGCTTGGTTGTTTTGTATCCTGCCAGAGAAGAGCTGTTGGTCACCTGGGGCTTCAGTAGTCACCTCTTTCTGCCATTAAGTAATAGAAACTTCCCAAATCCAGACGTTTGGTAGAAGCTTCCCTTTTTTTTCAAAGGAAGGAAACCGAGACCAATTCTCGCTAAGCTTTAATTTAATTTAATTTTTTTTTTCATACCAGAACGCCAGCAGGCCTAAACCCGCCGGTTGCTCACAGCAAAGAAATGCAAAAAAATAAAATAAAATAAAATTGAGTTTGCACATCCACTGGAAGATTTGAAGCCCGGACGGCTCTCCTTCCATGGCTCACAAAAGTCCTGGGTTTGAGCACAAGAGGTTGAGCCAGGAAGTCAAACCCAGAGCTTAAAAGCAGCGAGGTTACAAAGCTTTCTAACTATAAATACGGCTTGCAGCCTTGCCTCCGATTCTCTGAATAGCCCAGGGTGGTTTTTCAAGAGAAATGACGTCATGGTTAAGGGGACGATCCATTTCTCGATAAACTCGTTCTCCATCGGCAGACAGTGGGCCTTTTTAAAATCCACCCCCCCCCCGCCTCTCCTCTCCACCCTCTTCTCAGAAAGCCACGTTTTCCCCTTGCCAAGAATGTAGGCGGCTGGCAACTGATCAGGTAGCTGTACAGCCAAAGAGCAGCCTGGCCCAGAATTTGGGGGGTTGGGGTAGAAAATTCAGCACCCCTTTGCGAGCTAGAAAAAGCTGCAATCTTAAAAAGAGCAATATGAAGAACGGTGGCAGGAATTGGGGGTGTCTAGTTTAATGAAAAGAAGGACCAGGGGAGACAGGAGAGCAGCCTTCCCATATTTTGAGGGGCTGCCCCAAAGAAGAGGGGGGTCAAGTTATTCTCCGAAGCACCTTTGAAGGCAGGAGAAGCAGCAATGGATGGAGACTAATCAAGGAGAGAAGCAACCTGGAATTAAAGTCCCTAACCACGAGGACCATTCACCAGTGGAACAGCTTGCCACCAGAAGTCGTGGGTGCTCCATCACAGGAGGTTTTCAAGAAGAGACTAGACTGGTTTTTGTCTGAAATGGCTTTCTGCTTGAGCAGAGGGATAGACTAGAAGACCTCCAAGGTCCCTTCCTCCAACTCTGTTATTCTATTGTGTTTTGTTCTGAAAACACGGTGTCTATATAGAATAGAATTCTTTATTGGCCAAGTGTGATTGGACACACAACCTCCTGTGGATGCAATCTTGCTGCCCTGAAGGGGTCTTCTGGCTGAGCTTTGCAAAACCAGCCCTCCCCCACCCGCCCTCATTTTTTGGGGGGGGAGGGGGAATGATGAGATAGGATTCCAGGAAGGGCGGACTTGATTCTACGGGTGGAGAATGTGGTGTCCATCTGGGCACGCAGCTCAGGGTGGGGTCTTGCAGCCCCTCGGACTTTGCTCCGATGGGGCTCCCAGCTGCCCCCATCCTGAGAGCCAAAGGTAGCTTTGGGGTCCCCTCGACTCCCCGCTAGCTGTGGGGGGGGGGATGGCAGGATCGAAGCGTCAACCCTGCGAGGTCGAGCAAACCAGGAACGTGACCACAAGAGACGGTGAAGAGCAGCTCGGTTGAGGCCGGCTCTAATAAAACCTCAAATTTTGCAAGTTTTAACCTTGCTGCCCCCTTCTAAGGCTTCCGCGAATTAGGTTGGTGCCTGTTGAAGCCACTTCCAAATGTGGCCTGGTTGTTTTAGACCTAAACAAGTGTTTTGTGGGTTTCCATCAAGGCCACATTTGTTGTTCTGTACACACAAGCTGCCATCATCTCCACCAATCCGTTTTTATCCCCAGCTCAGAGGTGGCATTCAGCCGGTTTGGACTGGTTCACTAGAACCGGTAGTGGAAATTTGCAGTTAGTTAGGAGCACCAGCAAATCTCACCTCTGACTGGCCCCCGCCAAGGTATTCTTTGGTTGCCCTGCCCAGGAGAACGGGGCTGGAAAGCAGGTTAGTGGGGTGGGGAGGCAATGGCGAATTTGCACTATCCTTCCCCTGCCATGCCCACCAAGCCACGCCCACAGAACCAGTAGAAAAAAGTTTTGTATCCCACCACTGCCCCAGCTTCTATGGCTAACATTTTAAAACAGGTAATCCTCAAGTTACGGCCATTTAACATTTGACTTCTGACTGGTCCTCATACTTATGACCACCACTGTTGTCCCTGCCATTCTGGGATCAAAATTTGGACACTTGGCAACCGGCGTATAATTATGACGATTGCAGAGTCGCCTGGCCGCCGTTAGTGACCAAAGGCTGTTGAACCTTGCGGAGATGAGTGTTTCTGCGCCCACCTCACAGGGTTGTTGTTGCAGGGAAAAAGAGGAAGGGCTATTAGGTAAATTCCCTGCCTTGAGTTATGGAGGCGAGGACAATAAGGGTGGAATACAAATAAATACCATAAAATAAAAATAGATAAATGTTCTCGTAGCCCCTGGATGATTTTTATACCTATTTGTCTTTCTCTCCATCCTTCCTTCATCCTCTCTGCTTTCTTCCTCTTGCTTTTCTTCTTCATCTCTCCTTCCTTGTCTCTTTTTCCTCCTGTTTTTTCCTTCTTCTTCCTCCTTCCTCCTCTCCCTCCTCCCCTCTTCTTTCTCCTTCCTCTCTTTGCACCTTCTTTCCGCCTTCTTCCACCCTCCTCCCTTTTTCCTTCTCCCTCTTCCTCCCCTCCCTTCTTCCTCTCTTGGCACTTCCCTCTGCCTTCTTCCCTCCTTCTCCTCCCCCCC